ACTTTTGTCCTCACCCTAGACATCCTTCTGAACAGATGGCACAAACTGGATGTGCGTAGAGTCATCTGCAAATATATCAACCGCACTGCGGCGTTCAGAATTGCTTTTTATTTCCTTTCAACCTGCTACCATGGGGTGTAAAGTCATCTCTGCCACCATCGGCCGATGGTTGCGGACCTCTATCGCCCTTGCCTACCAGCTCCAGTCTAAACAGGTGCCACACTGCATCACGGCCCACTCTACAAGAAGCGCTGCATCTACAGCAGCCTGGGCAACCCAAGCGCCCATAGAAGAGATCTGCAGAACGGCTACATGGGCCTCACCACCCCAATTTGTACGAGCTTACAAATTAGACAAGTTTGCATCAACGGAAACAGCATTTGGGAGACGGGTCCTTCAGGGTATTCATGCCGCTGGAGAGACCATTGACTCAGGTTCTTTCCGCCCTAGTGACATTTAACTTGGGTATGTCCCATGCTTGGACTCTCCAAACAGCGTACGGGAAAATGACAATTGGCTTACCTGAAGGGTCCTTTTCTGTATGCTGCGAGGAGAGTCCAACCCCACCCTAGGGTCTCCCTCACAGCTTCCATTCTAACTTGATCTAGACTTACTTGACTTGGTTGTGACTTCTTTACTGAATTGGACTTATGCAATCTAAACTTGACTTGAACTATGACAACTCATTGGAACCACCTGTGAACAGTGTTACAGGTCCATGCCTTCATTGAAAAATCTGAGGTGCCGGAAGAGTAGGCGTGGCTAAAAATCTTTCAATTCAGTCCATGGCAGTCAGATAGAATTTAACCCATGCTTAGACTCTCCTTGCAGCGTACAGAAAAGGACCCTTCAGATAAGCCAATGGTTCTTATTGGGGTTTAGAATTCTACGTGTTCATAACCAGTCTTCTATAGATATGTAATAGTTATGTGTCAATGGGATGCTGCATAGGAAATGATCAGATGAGAGGATGGAGGACGGTGATTTCATGGTCAGAGGAAGAAACCTAAGAATGACCCACCGTAATTGATCAGATGGCTAAAAGTGGTGTCGGGAGATTTATTCCTTCCAATTTTCAAGATTCTGTCAACATAGCTTTACAATAAAGTAAAATTAGTTCATCTAGTTGTTTCCTATCTCATTTAGCTGGAAGTCCTGACAGTTCTGTGCAGCAGGAAGGAGAGACCATTTCACTTATTAGCCCAAAATAAAATGACATTCCTCAAATATATTATACTGCAACAGGGACTTTTAAGCAGATAGGTATTTTCTCCCATCTCCATGTTTATTTACTAACCTACTTCTCCCATCTCCATGTTTATTTACTAACCTACTTTTATGGGTGAGATCATCACCCACAGAGCTCTTTTCCCCAGTTTAAATGCCTTCCAGAGGAATTGCCTAGAGATGCTGGGGCTGATGGCACAACCACTCTAGGAGCACCAGACTGGTTTCTGCTTAAATCTTTATGCCTTCTTCCTTACCTGTGGAGCTGTAATCAAAGCCCATGTATCAGTTGAAGGATACTAATGTAGAACAAGATGTCCATCACAGTGAGGAAACCAGCTAGCAAATCAAGTCTTTTTAGTTGTGCTCTGCTACCAATAAATTTATGTGCACATCTCTGCAACTTTCTTTTTCTTTCTTTTTTCTCTTTCTTTTCATTCCTTCCTTCCTTCCATACAAAAATATTGAGGGGATTTGCCATCTCCTTCCAGGATTTTTTATTTTATTGTTGCAGCTTATACTGCTTGCTAGGCTTTCCTGGTGGTCTCCCATCCAAGAACTAACCACATCCTAGTCAGCCAGTACTCTTTGCTGTGGCTGCTGACGGTGATGAACTGTTTTAAGATTAAGACTTCCCCCGAGTCAAGTGATGGCTTTGAAGGAACAAATCCATTAGTTCTCTTGGCAGTCATCAGGTAGCGGTTCCCATTTTCAGGGGACTTTTACACACACCCGCCCCAACTTCTCCATCTAATCTTAAATCCTGAGGGTCTCCTGCTTATCTTCTTGAGTTCAACCGACGGCTGCGGGGTACTTGGCTGGATTAAGTCGTTTAAAACGCCCGATATTTTGAGCAGATGTTCGGAACCCGAACATAACCGGAATCCCACGCTTCGCTCCGGCAACGAGACGCCTCAAAGCAGCCCAGACCCGAACAAGAGGCGTCCTCCGCGTTAGAGGGGCGGAGCTTCCCTGTTTACCGTTGGAATGGGGCGCATGCGTGGTACTCGCGCTCCTCCACCCACCTCGGTTGGCAACTTGGGAACCTCCTGAGTCCTGAAAGGGAAACCGTTGGGCTGAACCGGTGAGTAACGGGGCGCCCGTCTCTCTCTCTCTCTGTTCCGTTCTCTCTTAGGCGGGATCTCGCGACTGCGAGCGATTGCAGAGCCAAGAAAAGGAGGCAGCCCGGCAGCCGAGAGGCTCCTGCACGAAGCGTGAGGGACGCGCCCCGTTGCAAAGCAGCCCTTGATGGGCAATTAGGCATAACAATGAGAAAGCGGCGGGGGGTGGGGGGCGCGCGGAGAAGGTGTCTGGAGGGGGATGTTGGTTCCCACAGGATCCATCCATCCTGGAGCCCTCTAGATCTACTGCACCGCAGTTTCTCCTATTGGATTTGCCAGCTTGGGGATCTATGCGCGAGTCATTCCAGGAGCAAGAGATGTGGG